GTACTGCCCATGCCAAAATGATTACCTTTAGATGACTTTCGGTTCATTTCACGATTGAGCAAAGGAAGGAAACGATCTACAACAGTATCAATCTTGGAACTATTTTCTTCGTGTACGACCAGAGCAGCAGCCATTTTGAAGCAGGTGCAACGCTGAAACGAAAAGTCATCAAAATACGGAATAATATCACAAGTTCATTGCGCGGATACCTTCAGAGAGACATTTGGTTGACGAGAGATCTCGAATCGACAAATAGTTGTCAGTTTTTCCACTAATGCTGTAAACTGCTCATTCGTCAGATGGTGTGATAGGACCATCAAAATCTTCGATGCCTAAAGCCAACATATGGAAAATGCAACAATGTCAGATAACAGTAAATTCTAAAAAACTAGAAGCGGGTTTAGGACCAACCTGTAGTGCAACATCTTCTGTTAATTGTTTGTCACGCAACTGCCAACAGCACCAAGCAATAACTTCGGAAACCCGCTCAGAAGTAAAGAAGGCTAGATCATAGTGGCTTAAGCATTGTCCGATGAGACATGCAGCCGACAGCCGTATAGTTGACGATTCGTTGCATTTCATCAACTTTTCGAGGGAGTCTAAATACAATGGCGCGACTTTAACGAAGTGCTTATTGGTGAAAAATGATTTTATCAATGTTATTGCCAGGATGATAAAGCTGTTTTAATTTTTTGGCATATGAGCAGGAGTTACGCGTTTCCAAGCAATTTGTCTCTATTCAGTCATACAATGCTCAACTAAAGTCTAGCACCTTTACTTAAAGATCCAAACGATTCTAAAAACTATTCGTGATAGCTTAAAACAACTCATAAACCGGAATGGGTATCGAAATCTTTGGGCTTGTATTTCAGAAACCATGATATTATCATTCTACTTCTGAAAATTTATGTGATTCTAGGAACGTGTTCGAAATACCCTATTTTCAGGTGTATAATCCGCGGGGGATTTTTTTCTCAAATCAACCATCCTAACATGCCAAAGGACTTTGCGACCAATAGACCATATACCGTGCTGCTTATTGCTTAAAAGAATCGTGC